GAATATGGCTAAAATTGATGCTACCATATGAACTACCAAACAGAGGAAAAGGGATGGGTGGTGGGGAGGGAGGAGTAAAGAGGTTTTCGTCCACAGCTGCTCCTTCAAAAGACAAACTTGTTGAAAAGGTAAGAATGTTAGGTCTATTTCTCATGGAACAAGTATTTTCTACTGAGGAAGGACAAAAGGATGCTTTGATTGTAGGTGTGCAACTGCAATGCAGCTGTATGCCTATTGCTGGTAAGAGTTTGATGACAAAGACAAAACAGTATATCATGAAACAAAATAGAAATATATGCCCAGCAGCTGCTCCATAAGTAACTACTGGTCTAGATGAACAGTGAATGTGGTTAGAAAAACCCCATCGCACAGGCTTATTGCTATCATGTGGCTCCAGGTGTTTCAGTGTGATCCTCTGTGAATAGAGAGGAAGAGGTGAACTGCCTGGGATGAAGAACCCATTCAGTCCAACATCCTGTTTCCATGACAGGCCACAGGCAAACGTCAAAGGAAGAGGAAAAGAAAGGCAAATATATGATATCTTCTCTGCAACACTCCCACAGCTACCAACTGCTTTCAGCTCTGGGAATTTCCTGAGCTTGAGTGGGTGTTCATTCATTAACTCTCAACACAGTCCTCTTCCAAATACTCGTCCCATCTTCCCTGCACCCTAGAGAAACACCCTGTACTCAGCATGCCATTCAGAAAGGCAGTGAACGAAGAATCATCTCCTCTTGTTTATTTAGACTTGAGCTCCTGCTACTGCAAATCTGATGGTTTGTACTCAGAAAGTCACCTGGAATCCACCATCTACAAGTTACTTAAAATGTGATGGGCCTCATGCATTCTCCCTCTTTGGTGATAACTCCAAGCCTCAGTTGTCCCTTTAAAGGGACACAAAGTCCGACAGCCGAGCACCCTTGTTATTCTTTTCTAGTTCCAGCATTTTCTTTCTAAGAAGCAGGAAACACAACAGGGAACAGTGCTCATGGTGCGAACTCACCACAGATTTCTGAAGTGCCATAAATGTGTTCCTCGTTTTGTTCTCTGTCCCTTTCCTTGAAATGTGCCTTGCTGTTTTCAAACATAAATATGGCGTTCATACAGGACATATGTACTTAAAGTCTCACTCCTGAGCGGCAGCAACTAATTCAGGTATTCCTATATTTTATGAAAAGTTTTGCGTAGTTATGAATCACCTTGCATTTATCAACTCTCTATTTATTACTGCCTAATCACCCACTATTTTTTACAGATGACCCTTACCCCCTGCTAACTTTAAAAGGCTTTGCATAGTCAGCAAACATTCTTGTCTTGCTGCTCACTGTTTCCTCCATGGGAGTGATGAATTCTAAAGCACTGCTCAGCTGCCTCCTTGCGCTCAACTCCTCATTGATGATCGTGTCTGTGGCTATGAAACAATGCCCATCTGTGCTTGACAATTACTGACAGCCTACCTTCTAATACATGGCTACTAGCAGCCAAGTAATACTTGATATTACTTCACATACAGAAGCCAAAATAACTATTTAAAACACAGATACCATTATAATTATTATCTCATGTGCATGCATTAAGCCTCACATGTTTAATATTAAGCATAAATATTACTGCATGACCAGAGTAATGCATATGAGATAGTTTGTAACTCCTTGCTAGTATACAACTATTAGTTTTATTACCTGCCCTTGGGACTGAAAATTAGGAGCATTGTATTTGATTCATTCTGGTCAGAAGCAGGGCTGGGGAGAATATTCTGCTTTGATTGCCCAGTCAGACTGCCCCTGAGAAAAAGAAAAAAAATCAAAAATCTCTAGTATATGTTTCTAAAAGAGTTTGACTTAATAATTAACACTTGCATAGACAGTTGAGGCCCACAGCCAATTTTATTTGAACGCCTTGCCTCTGAATTTGCTTTTGTTTATGTATTTTGACTTCCTTTTAATCCTAATTCCAGTTCGGTTGCATAACAATAATGTCCTTTTGCCCTTAAAACCCTTACACAGGGTCTCAAATTTGGCTTTGCTTTAAGGCAGTTTTGGTTTAAAAATGATACAAAACTATTTGTTACCCCACAAGCACAACTCAGTTCACTCCTCCCTAAATGTCTGCTCCTACAAAACAAGGAAGAAGAGACACCAGAATAGCATAAGGAATCCAAACATACGTGTTTGCTTTTCATGCAAACATTTCCATTTCCAAGACATTTAGTAAACACTTTTCTTCAATTTTTTTTTTTTATTTCACTAGTTTCTACTCTATTAATCTGTTTGGAACTCCACTGTCAGTAAGTCAGTCCAAACAAGGGAGTAATGAGGTTGGAGAAATGTATGCTCATACTGTATAATTGCATAAGCCGCTTCCTGTATGCTGGGGGTACGATTTGCATTTTCATCTATTAAATACCTTGTGTTCTAGATCCTTCTCTCTGACTGTGAAATGTATTTGGACATCTCCACTGTGGCACTTTTCCAACTTTATACAAACACTGGAAAGCAATCTCGCTGAAAGCAGACGGTTTAGTATGACTTGGTTATTAATTTTTAAGGAAGAGGTTCTGTGATCTGTGACAAGAGAAGTATTTTAATTGACGGGAGGAGCTACCTACCACTCATGCAAGTATTAGAACCACTTAAAATGTCTTCATCTGCATTTCTGTACATATGTGTATTGATAAATATATATATATATATATATTTATTTATACATGGAGATATATATAAAAATTTCCCAGAAGCAGGATGTTCTTTTCTCAGCGTTCACAGCACACTCTGCTGGCTGTTGTCGAAAGTTAATGCCAAGCGAGGACGACAAGCTAAAAAGAAATAAAATGTTTTAGGACACAGGAGAAACACAATCCATGCAGGTAACTACCGCGGGCATTTGAACGGAGAGGAACAAGGGACGTATTCTGGGAGCACCAAGGAAGGGTTGGCAGGAAACTAGTTTAGTTTCACGGGAAGAGAGCGAGCTTTTCTTTTTTTTTTTTCCTTTTTTTGGGGGGGTGCATGGGGGGGGAGGGAAGAAGGCTTCTCCCTGTGCTGAGGTCATCCCGTTTCAGCATGGAGGCAGGGAGCACGCATCTGTGCCAGTGCCTCCATTTCCGTTCCTTCAAGGACAGGGCAGGCACTGCCTGACGGGCGGGCGAGGATCACTGGCTGCTCAGCATTAAGTGGCTTTATATGAAAGTGGCTTAGAGCCACATTTGCATGACAAAGCCATTTGCGCGTCCCTCGTCAATAAGGGAGGCTGCAGCCTCCATTTATCCTCCCTTGCGTGGAACACGGGAGACCATTAAGGGCAGGACGGGGATTTTGTTAGGAATGCGCTCGTTGCCCGTGCCGAGCGGGGCTGGAACCACGGCGGGCTGTGCACAGCGGGAGCGGGGAGTGGGGACAGCGCTTCAGCAGAGTTTCAGGGCAGAAAACGTGGCCGGGGCCGTTTCCGGCCGAGAACCAGCCTCGCGCAGGGCTGTGGCGGGGCCGGGCCGGGCGGACAAAAGGGGCATTGCTGGGTGACGCTGCTGAGGAATTCCTGCCGGGCGGGG